AGGACGGAGGTCAGATAGAAGACTGAAGGGGAGGACGGAGGTCAGATAGGAGGACGGAGGTCAGATAGAAGACTGAAGGGGAGGACGGAGGTCAGATAGAAGACTGAAGGGGAGGACGGAGATCAGATAGAAGAATGAAGGGGAGGACGGAGGTCAGATAGGAGGACAGAGGTCAGATAGAAGAGTGAAGGGTAGGACGGAGGTCAGATAGAAGACTGAAGGGAAGGACTGAGGTCAGATAGAAGACTGAAGGGGAGGACGGAGATCAGATAGAAGAATGAAGGGGAGGACGGAGGTCAGATAGGAGGACAGAGGTCAGATAGAAGAGTGAAGGGGAGGACGGAGGTCAGATAGAAGACTGAAGGGGAGGACGGAGATCAGATAGAAGAATGAAGGGGAGGACGGAGGTCAGATAGGAGGACAGAGGTCAGATAGAAGAGTGAAGGGGAGGACGGAGGTCAGATAGAAGACTGAAGGGGAGGACGGAGATCAGATAGAAGAATGAAGGGGAGGACGGAGGTCAGATAGGAGGACAGAGGTCAGATAGAAGAGTGAAGGGGAGGACGGAGGTCAGATAGAAGACTGAAGGGGAGGACGGAGATCAGATAGAAGAATGAAGGGGAGGACGGAGGTCAGATAGGAGGACAGAGGTCAGATAGAAGAGTGAAGGGGAGGACGGAGGTCAGATAGAAGACTGAAGGGGAGGACGGAGATCAGATAGAAGAATGAAGGGGAGGACGGAGGTCAGATAGGAGGACAGAGGTCAGATAGAAGAGTGAAGGGGAGGACGGAGGTCAGATAGAAGACTGAAGGGGAGGACGGAGATCAGATAGAAGAATGAAGGGGAGGACGGAGGTCAGATAGGAGGACAGAGGTCAGATAGAAGAGTGAAGGGGAGGACGGAGGTCAGATAGAAGACTGAAGGGGAGGACGGAGATCAGATAGAAGAATGAAGGGGAGGACGGAGGTCAGATAGGAGGACAGAGGTCAGATAGAAGAGTGAAGGGGAGGACGGAGGTCAGATAGAAGACTGAAGGGGAGGACGGAGGTCAGATATACACATGCTGCAAATACAGAGAAATAGCTGCTGCTCTGCCAGAAATGCAGTGAGCTCATAACTTCCTGTGCTGTACTGAAATCCCAAGCCCAGGCATATTTTTTTTTCTCACTTTACTGCATGTTATGTTTTCCTTCCCCAGGAACTGCAATATACACAGGAGGATTTTCACAGGACCAAGAATACACTTCAAGGGAGAATCCGAGACCGGGAGGATGAGATCCAGAAACTCAGAAATCAGGTAATCCTATGTGGTGAGGTGGCATTGATGTCTCGTATATACATTGAGTCGCTTGGTCCTCGTCCTTTGTGTCTCTCCAGTGATCCTTCAGCAAGGTAAGTGCGACGGGGGAAAGCGTGGTTGGTGAGGACCTCAGAGGGCACATGTGTCAGAACTACTTCTCTCCCTATACAAGTCAGTGGGAACCCCATAGCAGTTTGATGGAGCTTAGGAGGTCAGATGCATCAGGCAGTGAAGTCTGAATGGTTTCAGAAGCATCTTAAGCTGAATGCATGCTGCATTTACGCAGCGACGCAAACCCTTTATGACCATGGAGTGCACAGAGTGTCCTGAACTCTGCATGCATAGAATTTTCTGGTGTGTCGCATTGCAAACTGAAGCTAATGGCGAGTTTAGCCGCTTGTGTGTGTTGAGCCGTTATGCTGCTGTTTCCAGGCCAGTGCTCGGGGGAGCTGAGCGGGAATAAGGAACTTGAGTAATCGCTCCCGCCATGAAGCCCTTGTGTATGAGGCCTTGTACAGTACAGTATGTACTCCGCTGAAGTTGCCCCCCACCCAAGTAGCTTTCTGTTGTCATTACAACCCTATTTTAGACCCAGTGACATCCTCACAGAGTCTCTGTGCTTCTCTATGTAATGCATCCATGTTTGAAAGAACTGAAATCCAATGAATAAAAGGTGAGGGTCAGGCTGCAGAGGAATTGGCTAGGTGATGCTGGATGTCCTCCAGCCAGGAAATGAGGCGGGCTCTACCTGACGCAGCACATAGCCATTCGGACCGCTGCAGTAGTATGATCCGGGCTCATTGTGAGGAGCTCCCAGCGTGCAGTGACATCAGAGGAAGCCATTTCAGTCCAGGAGAGGAGCCGCTACAACTGTGCAAGACTGTTTGCAGAACTACAGGTCCCATGAGGCATTGCAAGACTTGCTCGCACAGGCATGACTCCCATAGGCAGAGACATGATTGGATTTGTAGTTTGAGCTATAGTGCCCTGGTTGCCTACCCCTGGCTTATGTTACATACTTATATGTAATGTGTGGATCATTTTTACATTTTGCGAGTACAATTTCAAAACTATTTTGGTGTGCTCGCATTATCACTTTTATTCAGTGCTCAAGAGATGGCGGCCATCTTGCTTTCTCCTCCACTAATACTGGAGTCTTTATGGATTTGGATGACCGTACACTAGGTGCCGTTCGATTGAGGAACCTCCTCTGACGTAATCTTTCCTTTTATTTCCCAGCTTACTAACAAAGCGCTGAGCAGCAGCAGTCAGACAGAGCTGGAGAACCGGCTGCACCAGCTGACCGAGACCCTGATCCAGAAACAGACCATGCTGGAGAGCCTGAGCACCGAGAAGAACTCGCTGGTCTACCAGCTGGAGAGGCTGGAAATTCAGCTGAAGAGCGTGCAGGGAAGCGGAGCGGCCGCGTCTGCCATCAACATGTCCGCCGTGGACAGCGGAGATGGTAGGTGCATGAGCCACTGCCTATGAGGAATTAAAGGAGAACTATGAGGTGAGTGATTTCCACTCCTCATTTTACACTCCTCCTGATTGTTAGAGCCGACATGTAACATTGAAACTGTCACACGTCGGCTCTATTGATCCGGAAGCGAGGAAACGCATACCGTCGCTCGCTCACTTCCCGATCACCTACCTGCAGAGAGCAGCGACCATCAGTCACCGCTGCCAGCAGGGATTCCCCCCCCCGCTCTGATCCTCCAGCGCTGACTGGAGGAACAGCGGGGGGGCAGGCACAGCTGGCTCTGGCTCTGTCTCTAGATAGGCAAAAGTCAGCTGTCAATCAGCCACCGCGGTGGATCTAGACAGTATTGTCGGGATCTGTCCCGGCTGCAGCGCTCTCAGTATATAGCTGGCTGTAGCCCGCTATATACTGAGTTTTGGGTTACGGGAGGACGTTAGTACATGTCCTCCCATGACCATAAAGAGAGCTATGGGGGAAAAAAAGGTTACCCCATAGATCTCTTTTATATCTCAACTGCAGCCAAAACCTTTTATTCTGCAGGAACGGATAATTGCCAGTGTTATTACTGCTTTCTGTTCCTTTTTTGTCCCAGAGACAAGGGCTTCCGTCATTTTTTGTCCCAATGTCCTTGGGACAGGAAGTGAGGGAAGATTTCCCAACGGCGGTCCCAGACTCAGCATGCAGTCCCCAGTTCTTATTCTTGTTGGCCCTGCTAGCCATTGTTGCTGTTTTGCCCACCCTCAGTTTGATTGCTTTTGGACATCTGGACAGTTAAAGGAGAACTATGACATGAGTGATTTCCACTCACCTCATAGTTCTAGCCGACCTGTGACCATGAGACTGTCACAGGTCGGCTCAGTAGATCGGGAGGTGAGCGAACACATGTCGGTGTTCGCTCACCTCTCGATCCTGTCACGGCTCTCTGCCGTGACAGGGGAGGGGCTGGATTCCCCCCGCTCCGATCCGCCAGCGCTGACTGGCGGAACGGACGGGGGAGGGGGCGGGTATAGCTGGCTTTGCCTCTAGATAGGCAGAGCCAGCTGTCATTCACACAGCTGGGCGGATCTCGGCACAATTGTCGGGATCCGCTTCAGCTGCGGCGTCTCAGTATACCGCGAGCTGTAGCTTGCGGTATATACTGAGCTTAGGGTAACGGGAGGACGCTAGTTTGTGTCCTCCCGTTACAGGAGAACTATGGGGAAAAGACCTGACCCCATAGTTCTCCTTTTAATGACTTCCCGTCTTCATCAATAGACACTATAGTACTTTTTGTGTTCTCTGTAAAATAATTTTCTTGACGTCATTTGAGGGACACGGGAGTGTGTTTTATGATCATGCTCTCCATACTGCTTAGAACAAAACTGAGACATACTGGAAATAGGAAGAATTATCCTGAACTGGGCCTATCCAGTGTCCTCTTGTAGGCAACACTATACTCAACAGTATATGACGACTTCCTGTGTCCCTCAATGGACCCAGAGAAAAGGATTTTACAGCGAGTACAAAATTCCTATTTTTGGCAACCGCTTTTCCTTCAGCACGGCATTGTGGGATGCGCAACTCCATCTTGCTGTGCTGGTTTCTAAACCAGAAACTTTATCGAATTCTAGTTTTAGAATATCATACAGGTAATGAGCGAGTGGCCCGTTGATTCTCAATCACAGATTGACTCGACCGGTCAGTTGTATTGAACTCTCTCCTGCTTTTCCTAGGTGCCCGTCTAAGAAGCGTCCCAGTTTTGTTCAGCGACTCTGACACAAATGTAGCCGGCATGTACGGGAGGGTCCGGAAGGCTGCGACCACCATAGACCAGTTCAGGTACAGATCGAGTATCTGTTTTCACGCTCTTTTAAAGTGACGCTAAACTCCGGAGTTAAATCTTCAGATGCATCTAAATATCTTTGCCCCCCTCCAGAAGGAAGGACAGTGTCAGCACCAATTCAGAGATGATTGGAGGATCTTCAGCCGAGTGATACACAAATTAGGATTTTTAATAGGGAGAGTACTTGAATGGATTTGTTTTATTTAACTCTCCTGTGGAGTTAGCTGTTTGGTTCAAGTGCTGCTTAACCTGAGTTTTTCTTTTTGCCTCCTTCAGTATCCGTCTAGGTATATTCCTGAGAAGATATCCTATTGCTCGAGTATTTATTATTATTTATATGGTAAGTACTGAGCAGCTTTTTGTGGGGGGGCCTCCGCTTGCTTAAGGGCCTGTTCACGCGACGTCCGTTTTCTGTGCTGACCTGATCCGTACGCTCCTGCACTCAAAATGCATCCCAATGTATCCCTATGTGTTTTATGGGCTACAGTTCTCACGTGCGCAGTCCGTTCAGCTTACGACAGAAAAAATACTGCATGTCACATTTTGTACGGTCAGGAAACGGTCCGGAAACGCAAAAACGCGTGAAACGCACTGCACTGCAGCTAATTCAAAATGCAATTTGTCTAATTTTTATTCCATTTTCATGACATACTTTATTTCAGACCCAGTGACATCATCACTGGGTCTCTGCTTCTCCATATAATACTGACAGTTCATGGCTGCCTTAGTACTCATCTCAAGAGCCCTGTGATGCGTGCAGTAGGCTGGTTTTGGGGAGAAGTAATGCAAATATGAAGATACCTTCATCTTGCAGGAGTGGGTGTTCCTCCCTGCCGCGATGCAAGCAGTGGGCCACCTCTCGGGATCAAAATGTCTTGATGTGATGGGTTGAAGTCAGTCTGAAGGAGTGGGCGTGTCTAAGTAGCCTGCAGACCACCCTAGGTTATGCCACACGTGATGCTGAGCCTCCATGATTGAAAGCACTAAAATTCAGTGAATAAAATGAAGAAATGCGTACATATAGGAGTTGGTTTACCTGCCATAGGATTTGTATTTCTGCCTGTCCAGTCCTGAGATTTACTGAGCTCTGCCACACAGCACGGCCTTGTCTGGCAGAACAGGGGACCTGACCTTTCTCTGCTGCAGTCCAGTAACACTTACAGGTCTTGTTTCTCCCTCAGCCTGTGATCGGGCAGCAAAAGGAGAAGCCGCGGACTAAAGAACTCCTCACTGTGCTCTCCCTCCTATCAGAATGCTTCTTTTAACTTTATGAGCACTGCAGCACAACTAATTGGCTGCTTGAGCTTTCTCTCTCTCTTACACTCTGAGCTCTGCTGTACAGGGACTGCAAGAGTTTGATACCAGGTCAAGTCAGATTCCGACCCTGAAAAACATTTAATGCCGCATTAACGGTTGCGGAGCCGCATTAACGGTTGCGGAGCCGCATTAACGTGCCTTTTATACTTACCTGGAATTCCGCTTTATAATGCCTTTAATTAGCAAAAACGCTGCTTCCTGCTCTTACCCACCAGTGCCCTGTGCCTGCAGAGCTGATACAGAGCAGGGAAGTGTGTGTGTGTGTGTGTGTGTGTGTGTCGCCATTATAAAGAATACAATCTAATTGTAGTTTTCTTGTTGTATTTCAGGCGCTCCTGCACCTCTGGGTGATGATTGTACTTCTGACTTACACCCCAGAAATGCACACGGATCACCCCACCGGGAAATAGTCGTGAGGTTCCCACTTCTTCCTCGGCGTTGCTGCAGTTATTCAGCTGTTTTAGGACTGATGCTTTATATCATAGCTGCGGAGCTTCAAGCTAGCCTGGGCAACGGATCACTTTCCTCTCACCCCTGCACACTATGATCTACAGACCTTTCCTCCTAGAACCGGCACAAGAAAAGATTTTATTACTGACAATGCTGCTCCTGCAATCTGCTTCCATCAGCAATGCAAACGGTTTGAAGTAAACCTGAAAACTAACATTACTTAGGTCTTGTTCACGCAGGCTTTAGCTTGTATGAGAGCAGTGTGTACAGCGAGCCCTTTGCAATGCGTTTATAAAGCCTCCAGCAACTTTGTTGAAGTCTTAAAAAAAAAAAAGCAGCCTTCAGTTCCAGTATGGGGATGATACACATAGATCTTAAGCCGATTTCCCCCCTATTCCCCCCCCCCTATAAGACGCAGTTCCCCCCCTCTCCCCCCCCCCCCCCAACAACATGCTAATGAAATTATTCATGGTTTTAATTACGTTCCTTGTTTTAGACCCAGTGATGCCATCACTGGGTCTCTGTGCAATGCAGCCAGATCATGACTAGGGGGGAGGAGCCGACAGGGTGCTGTACAGAGCTTCCTGGAAATGTCACTGCACCCTGTCTCAGTGCTGCTATCAAGAGTCCTCAACCACGATGCAAGCAGTGGGCTGGCTCATGGGAAGAGTTGCACATATCAAAATGCCTTGATGGATAGATGTCAGTCTAAAGGAGCGGGCGTTTCTAGGCAGGAGAGGAGCTGGTAGAACTGTGCAAGACTGAAGGGGAGGCCGGAGGTCAGATAGACTGAAGGGGAGGCCGGAGGTCGGATGGATGGA